GTAATTACAAACCGGGGGTCATTTTACTGAACAATACGTCTCCATCCATGTCATCGACATAACGCGTGCGATTGAAGTCAATGAATTCCAAGGGATATAAAGCGTCGATTTGTATCGGAAAGAGTAAGATATCATCGAAAGTGGTCCTATCGAACCAATAATCGACTTCACTTATCAATGGATTCAACAAAACACTGAATCGTTGAACATATAATTAATTATACATCACGTGACACCTCTCCATAGGAAATTGCATTTGGGGGAAATACGTGCTCATAGGAAACAATAAAAAATATTTTGTAGACTTTATTGGGTTAATACAATATAAATAAATTAGCGGTGATTATTAGGGTCTTTGGTGACAAAAATCACGGCTAATTTTTAACCATAATTCAAATACAAAGAATGTGGGTTTTAGTATAGTTTTGCCCTTTTCCCCTTCCCCACTCTATGGGATACCATGTTAATCCTATAGCTATATTTTAACACGGGGAGACTTTCATAGGTTTAACATAAAAATTTAATATTTTAAAATATAATTTACTTACTTTCTGTTGACATATTTGGCCACAGTTTGCAGTAATACTATAAATGGACCGCAATATTGATAGTATAGGAGAGTTGTGTTGTCATCGATATCTTCCTCCCATTCCTTGTACGACAAGAGCGGCGGATAAAAGTTTTGGGTTATAGTGAAAGGTCTTTCGGTGGCATTAGTGGCCCAATCGGTGGTGTTATGAGAGCTGTTTAAAGTAATACATCTGACAGTATTCAGAGCAACGTTTCGCATAACGGGTAGAGTTGAGTAATCAAAGGTATCAATGGGTGACATGCTTTACAATTAATTCATAATCATTTGTGAACATTCTAATATAATGTAACCATATAATGAAAGCGGTGGATTGGCTTAAGTTGATAAAGTTACTTATTTAGATTAAGTTGTGCATAAAATTGTGTTAAATTACTTTTCAAAATTCTCAATCATTCTCTCGATTACACTCTGGCTTTCACTCATCAGTTGATAAAACTTTTTAAAATAAAATCTGCGAAATCGTGGTTAAGAAGTATTGCCATTATTAAGAAAGTTTCTGTATTTTTATAAAATTATTGCGACTCTATTTGAATGTCAAATAATACTAAAATTCAGTATATTATATAATATTTAATACAGGTAATATTAATTTTGGTATTAATACAATCAAAGTCATAATTAGATTCCATGTGATTTCCTTTGCCTAACGCGACCCAGGTAAAGACCCAGGTATTACATTTCAGAATTTAAATTTTAGTTATTTTATTAAAGAATTTATATATTGTGTGGAATATGAATGAAACGAATATATTGGATATATCACAATCTTGTTAACCCTTATGGAATTTGTGCACAATAGTAGGTCTTATTATTGAAAAAAAACGCAATACCATTATAATATCAACAAAAAATTGTATTGAAATTTAAAACGTTCAAAATTAAATACTTTAAAATAAGAAGTTGTTAATTTGAAAATTTACATTTTGACATATTGATTTTAAAAATTAACCTAGTAAATTATTATTGAAAAGATCTATTGTGCAACAACCCTTCTAACGGTGCACGACGACCAAGAGATAATATTATATTGAAATTTTAAAATAATCAAAATATACGTTTCAAGATTTTCCAATTGAAAAAGAACTTATTTTAAAAATGAGAGTAAAATCAGCTTAGAATGTAATTATGTCACCGATTGTATATCATTTTAATCAATAAATTTATCTGTGATATTCCTATTCATACTTTTTACAAGCAATGTAAAATAATGTTATTAATAATATTAATCATACCATAAACTTACAATACAAATTAATAATCAATATAATAATCCCAATAATAAATATAATTTTAACACAATTTTAAATTAAATTATAATACTAATGATAGTATATTGTGAAATGATCTTTAAATATCTTTTAATTAAATTGCATAATAGAATATTAGTAATGAAATACTGTATTTTTATAATTATATATTTTTATCATAATAGACTAATGATACTAAAAACATAACTGAATATTAATCATATTTTCAAAACCTCTATTTTGTTACAAAAAGATCTTTACAATACGATTAATACATAAAATTATTATTAAAAAATATATATTCTAATATTACTATAACGCCGATCAATTTTCCCACTGCCAAATTTCCCACATTCAAAATACGTGTAAAGTAGTATACAGTGAATTATAGCAGATTGTATTGCTGGCTCATCATTGGTCAATGCTTTGTTTATTTTAAATGTGGGAAAGAAAAAAGTGAGAAAGTTGATCGCGTTATAGTTAAGTCTATGGGACGGGTAATTTGGCATTGTTTGGTATATTGTAGAATAGTAAAATAACTTTTTTGGTTCGTACACATATTCATAAATACAGTATAAATGAACTTTATTATTATGAGACACTTTCCGCGTTATGTGCCGTAACTTGAGACGTAAACTAATTTAATAATAATTATATATGTTATTGAATGTTAAATCCGAAAAAATTAGACAATAAATTATATTTGACTACAATTCAGTATTGTAATTGACGTATCAAATTGCTGTGCAATCCTTGTCAATACGATGTACATGTATACATTTGTAATTCTAATTACATTATTACTTATAAATTTCAGTAGATAAAATAAAATATGATAAAAACACAATTNTTTAACAATAATAACTAAAATGCCAAACATTTATCTTTAATTTGCAATTGATTTGATTAAGATATCTTTTGTAGTTTTTGAATAATAAAAAAATCAAAACCCGCGTTCATGGCCAAAGACACTGTATTAAAGTATATTCATTAAAGAAGGATGGGCATCTGTGGGATAGCGGGCAACCGGGAATTATTGTTATAAAATGAAAGTACACTCAATGGGTAGTCGAGTGATATACTTCATATGTCCAGATACTTTCGGGTCTGGCCGTAGTGACCACTTTTATCGGTAAAATTTTAAAAATCAAATCTTTTATTTTATAAATAAGCAAGTCATATTATATATCAATGGAAAGGTATGAATGAGTAGAATCGAAATCGGAAGGAATTTCTCAAATCTCACATAATCGATAAAAGTTATATCAAAATTAAGAAATTTAGTATCAGTTATGTACGTTTTTTATAGTGATTAACGTAATTACCGAACATCATTTATATCAATTTTAAATATGCTTACAATGATAATTCATTTCGCATATTTAAAATTTTTAAAAAAAATTTAAATAAAATTTTTGGCATTTTCACCATTATTTTTGCGCAAACTTCTTTACTTTTTCAAAATAGTCAACTGTATTATTGATACTTAAATTAATTTTTACAGACATTAAAACTTCAATAATATTTTAACTTTTGTTTTATTTTAAAAGTCAGTTTTATTTGATTAGATAAACATAATTTTCATTTATACCTTATAAATCATTTATATTTTAAATATACTGTTTATTAATTATTGGAAGCAATGGGACTAATAATTGACAAAATTACACAAAAATACAATAGTTTTATTGCAAAAAATAGTCAATTCTGTGGGACAGAGCATCGTATGGAGAGGTTTTGTCAAAAACATTTCCTAATTGCTTCAAATACTGCCGATTATATGAATGGTGTTTACGTTAAGCGCAAACAATTGCCGCTAATTATAGCGAGAATTGTGTTATTATTAGTGGGCGTCAGATATGGGGTCTCAGCGGTGGTCAACACCCGAGAGATGAGGGCTTTTATGTCGGATTCAAATTATAGTATAGGAAATGGACGGCTCATCTCAATCGGGTACAGTATATCGGCGTTTGTTGCCCTTTATAGTGGTCTCGCCTTCCAATACCTGGAAAAAGGCAAACTTTATATATTTAATTATAATCATAATCTAAAGTCTCATACATTGGATCCGCCACTAAACGCATATCACAAACGAAAATTTATTTTAATTTTTAATTTATTTGTTAAATATTACTTTTATCAAACAACTTTGTTGCTAATGGTTTTGACAAATGGTCTTCTTATGTATTCAACATTAAAAGCTTATTTTGACACAAATTCTGGCTTCACAATGATCTCGATCATTTTTGGTACAATTTTCAATGCCGTTTGGTTAATACAATTCTGTTCACTGGTTAGCCTGTCATTCGGCACGTGGTATATAATCACTGCTCATCTCAAATATAAATTTAGAGAAATCAACACAACGATTGAGATCTATGTTAAATATAATTGTCAGACATTACTTATGAAAGCGATTGAAAATCACGCGTCGGTTGCGTTGATTGTCTATAATTTTAATTATATATTTAAATATGTATTATTTGTGGTCTACTATTTCTGTACGCCTGCCATTGAAATGTTATTATATATTACGTTTGCAACCGATACTGATATTGTGGCCAGATTTATCACCGGGTTCATGTTTGCGTTAATGTTTGCAACTGTTTTTTCCCCTAAATTATATGTCCACTCGGTTTACGAAACCCTCGTATAAATCACTTCCCCTTTTGTACGTATGTATGAAATGCCGGAGTATTTCAGTGCGAAATCGTATCAAACTTTTGGCATTCATAGAGAGGTTGTGTTCACACGATATCTGCTTTTATTGTCTAAACTTATTCCCAAATTAATTATATTACTTATTTAAAAAATATAATCTGCTTTTATTGTCTAAACTTATTCCCAATGAGTTCTCTTGAGTTTGCATTTTATGTTTACGCCGTTATAAGTAATTATATGCTTAATATTCAATTTAATATAAATTAAATATTTTTTGATTTGAAAAGAATGTTTATCTTATGAGAATAAATTATTAATGCTTAAAGTCTCTTTAAAATGTGTAATATAACTTTAAAATGTAAATTTTATTTTTAATTATAATAAATTATTCATAACAAATCAATTAATTATTTAAATAAAGATAAATTTCAAAACTAATTATTATAATAATAAAATAAAATATTTTCAAATTAAATTTATAATCTTTAAGTTTAAAATTAATTCTAAAATTAAATTTGATAAAATCTAATTCAGATTCTTGTAATGTTAACTAATACTTGTTTTGGAGTCAATAAAACGCTACCATTAAAATACTCCATCTAAAAGCATATAAAAATATTTAATGTCAAAATATATACTTTATATGTTTTATTAATTAAATTGTTAAATAAAATCTTATAAAACTAACCTGAAATCCTGGCGCGAGTGTGAACTCAAATCGGTGTACAATCTTTGCGATACACATTCGCATCTCATTTAAGGCAAACCTCATACCAACGCATAGTCGAGGGCCGCACCCAAAGGGCAGGTATGCGTACGGATGGTGTGTTGGGTTAAGAAACCGTTCGGGTTTGAATTGATGAGGGTCGGGAAAATGCTCGGGTAGTCTGTGAATTATATATGGATGATGTTCTACAGTAGTTCCAGCCTCTATGGTTATGCCTGTGACAATAAACATGCTGATTATATTTTTTAAATAAGTAATATAATTAAAATCTTTATTAGATACCAGTATTTCCCAGTTTGTAATCCTGTTTGCATTCCCGTTGAATACTAATCAAAGGTGGGGCCAGTCGTAGGGTCTCATCGATGACTGCATTTAAATACTGGCATTGATTTAGGTTTTCATACGTGAAGTCTGTGTCCAAAGCGTTGAGTTCTTCCCTCAGAATCTGTTGTTTGTCTTTGTTTTGAGACAAATAATAGACGACATGAGAGAGCGAAGCGCTGGTCGTGTCGTAACCGGCGATGAAAAACAGTATTCCCTGAGCCGTCATCTCATCCAAACTCAGCGTCTGATTACGTGTCCTATTATTTACGATTTCGCCCAATATTTTCAGATCCTCTTTAGTATAATCGTGTGAATCCATGTCTTTATCAGTGCTCTCGTTATCGATCATCAATTGTATGAAATCTGATCTCTTTTTTGCTATTAATGAAAACAATTTACAAATAAATAAATAAATTACTAATTAATATGTAAATAAAGTTTATTATAATATTTACCAGAATTTGTTAGCGTTTTTGCGGCACTTTTTCTCTCCTCCACTATTTTCTCCGTGAGTTTTGCGAAATATTTAATAGCAGTTATATTGAAGGGCTCGACACTAAACATGCGGGCTATGGGTGGGGCCAGAATGGACAGGGCGTAGCTAAAACTCGAGTCCACAGACAATATTTTTTTAGCGTTGACTACAATGGGATGATTGGGATTATTAATGGACTCAACATTTATACCATAAGCGCAGGCACTGATCACATCCATCGCGAAGGCACCCAAGTATTTGCGCATATCTACTGTTTCGCCTAAAATCATGTAAATATAAATCATAATTAATTAATACTATTATTATTTATTATTAAAATATACTACTCGTGGCAAACGCGTCCAGATTAGTGACAAACTGGTCGGCAATGTCTGATATGCTGGCCATCATTGACCGCAGTTTCCCCGACGTGAAGGAAGGGCTGACTATAGAGCGAACTCTTTTCCACTCGTCGTCGCCTTTCAAGAAAAATAACGCTTTCGAGAGTTGAGTGGTTCCCAGATTGAAGTCCAGATGATCCGGGAATATGTGGAAATTTTTCAGCGTAATGTCTTTGATCAGTTCCGGTTCGTTGATCATTAACCACGTGCTGGTAATACCGTAACCGCCGTATATGCGGCCAAACCGTCGATATTTATCTTCATAAAATTTTGTTACATTTTGTAAAAAGCCTTCAAAATTGATCCTGTTGCTTCCCTTTACTCCCCTACGCGCCCAATAAGTAAACCGATACCGCAGTAATCTAGGTACAATTATTTATAAATGTATTAATATAATTTTCCGTATGCATTTTATGAACTTACAACCCAATTACGGTTATTAACGTTAGTATAATTAGTGTCACTGCATTTAATTCATACATTATTAATTTGTTTGAAAATAAAATAATATTTTTAACTAAAATATTTATACCATTTCTTGTTTATTATAATATTCTTGTTTAAATTATAACATTATCTAATCTATAAATAATTATCAGAATATTTATACTGATATTTTAAGACCACTATCACCAAGGCCTTTTATAACACTATATTTTACGCAAGTTTTTAATTTATATCAGTGTATAAATATGTACCATGTAGGGTGACCAACTTCCATTTTGGTAAAAAAGGACATAACAAAGAGTTTTAGAGGACAATAGGGAAAACATACACTAAAAATTATGACAAATAGAGGACACAAGTTTTAACGTTGGTTTTCATAGCAAATCTTAAGAGTAGACTATTCAA